CTTCAGTTCATCTCCGACGTCAAGCCTAGAACAAAGCAGCGATGTTTTTAATTGTGTTTCCGAATTTTACTTTGCCTTGCAGGGGCCAGCTAATGTACAAGTCAGTGTTTTCATCCTTCCAGACGAGTCTTGTACCGCTCTACAGTCCTCAAAAAACAGGCGGCTTGCTTGCCTGAGTGGGAGTCGATCCGACATGTGACCTGTGGAAAGCGCGAGTAAGGCTGCGTTTATACTTTGCGGCAGCGTAGCGTAGCGCTTCCAGCGTACGCCAGCGGCAGTGCCGGGGAGAGGATGGATATCGATCTAGCGCTCCCACCAGCGTAACGCTAGCGTACGCTAGCGTAACCCCAGCGTACGCCAGCGTTTCTCCAGCGTTTCACCAGCTTTTTGCTGGCGCTTGCAGCGGCAGGGGAGTAGAGACTATGTGGCCGTAAGAGACGCGCAATCGTTGTGTATAGTAGAGACTGAGGGCGAGTGAGACGCGCAATCGATGTGTTTTGTACCCTGCAGCTCTCCCTACCACTGCACCTCCCATAGTCTCTAACTCCCTGCCGCTGCAAAACGCTAGCAAATACGCTGGTAAAACGCTGGAGACACGCTGGCGTAACGCTAGCGTTAACGCTGGTGACGCTTGGAACGCTAGATCGATATGGCATCCTCTCCCGCGGCACTGCCGCTGGCGTACGCTGGAAGCGCTGCGCTACGCTGGCCGCAAAGTATGAACGCAGCCTAATAAGCGGGCCTTCTGCCACTACAGCATCTCCACGGGTAAAAAAGTGAGGCCTGCTGGATATTTTTTCGTAATGTTTTTTGCATTTACCTTCTGAAACATATTCAAGGGAACCAGAAGCGATTCTTATCACTCATTGGGCAAGCTCTGTAACAAACAATCCATTCCAGAGTAATAAGAGGCTTGACCCGTCTGGTTTGCTTTGGGAGAAAGCAATTTGATAAAATCTACCACCGAAAATTAACCCTTAGCTAAATCACAATATGACCCTTGAAAACCTATGAAAACACGAAAAGAAGTGAACTCCGCAGCTCATAAACTGGTGTATTCAGTTTCCACGACCTATAGACAGTGTACTGATGTTCAACTCGTCAGAATTGACAAGCACCCATGATAACAATTTCATAGGATTCTTGGCGGAAGAGGCGTGGTGTTACCACGCAGAGGTCAAATTCCGAATGGGCTGCAGCGCAAGACAAAGAAACTTCCTGCCCTCCAGGCACAGTAGATTGCAACCAGATTCTTTGGAAGGACAACAACACCACTGACTTGTACATAGGCCCCCGCAAGTTACTGCATAGGCCATATTCATACAATAAGCCACTACCATTCTGAGTGGAAGTAGAATGCGCGCCGCATCCAAAAAAAAGCGACGGCGAATCTTAGCCCTTTTTGCCTAGTCCGCTCAGTCCCGATGAAAAGCACCTGAATAGGAGATTTTGCATTTTTCGCGCGCAGCCTCCTTCGGAACCGCTCTCAAATGCAACAAAGCTTAAGCTAACCTGTGCATAAAATGAAGAAGAGGCCAGGTCTCAGCTGTGACGTCACGGGAATTTGTAACAAAACCAAGATAACAGCTCTGAAGAAGAAAAAGTATCGAATTTAGCATCTAGGCAAGCATGTAGGTCTACCTTATATAAGCTGACGAAATGTTCTGGATGAGATTTCACAAGCTGCATCATGCACACGTACGCTCCTACACGGCAGTCCAACGTTTTTCTAGACCATATTCGAACTAAAACCTGCAATTATTGCTTAAATAGACGCGAAGCGCAAAACAACGTTCGTCCTCCCACAGCTTCATAACAAACTACAATTACCAAAATGTGCTGCTTGAAAGGCTTAACATATGAAGCTATTTAGATATCTATGATACGAACCTTGAACAAACTTTTTGTAATTTTCTTGAAATGAGCGAAGAGATCTACCATTCGTCGTATCGCTTTGAGCGTTGAAGTAATGACGTCAGGAGTTTGAACCTCGTTAGCAAACTAGAAAGGAATAAAATCAGGTATAAAAAGATAAAGACTACGCTGTTGATCAATCCTTTTGGGATGCATATTTCTTCCATTCAAAATCGCACCGGCTTATTGAATGCGATGTGGCCTGCACAACGGCGTGCTGAGGCCAGCCGATGTATAAGACAGCGTCCTTATCCTCTCACCATAAGACCAGTAGCATCCCAAGGAGATAAAAGGCTTGTTTGGCCTGGTTGGGAGTCAGTCCGGGGTTTGATCCTTGGACTGTGCGCGTACTGAATCTACTGAATGTGCCACTTGCCAGTACATCACTCACTGTAGGTAGTTGAACGGAGTTATCCTCATCAATAAATATGGATGAAAAATGACACTGTGACTGTCCTGGTTGCTTCAATGAAATCTAGACCTGTAACTCCGAGCCAAGCCATGAGCTTTTTACAGCCATCAGCTGTGGAATTCGATCAGGTGAAACCTAACATAATGGAACACAGTAACAACCATCCCAAACGGCGCCCACGACTCCCTCACCGATGTGGATACCCAGTGATAGCCCTGCTTCTGACGCGGTACATCAAAGTCATTTGCTAGACCTACAAATCAATATAAAATAAAAGCCACCTTCAAAATGCTGGAAAGATATTGTTTTAACGGAGTCTGATACTTCTTGATATGTTTCAATTTCAGATGTTTGGCCTCTTCTGAATCCTGGTCCTCTACTTTCACATGTACCTGAAACGGAGACGCTAAACAAAACGGAAGCTGAAAGAGAAGATCAGTGAGATGACGTTATCAGAAGCGATCTAAGATCTAAATGAAAACAATTCGTTTCAAACCACATCACATTTCATTGGAGTTAATCTCTAGGGAAGTTAAAATTTTTTTTTCTTCGAAGAAAAAAAAAACTCAGAAAATTTGCTCATGTAGTAATGGCGAAGTAATGGCGAAGTAGGACACTCACCGATCCGGTAATCAGAGTGGTAAAAGCATCTCCGAGCTTCTCGAAACACAGTCGAACCGTCTCGTAGAAAACACCCTGCAAGTCAGAGTGCTATCGCTGGATCGGGAACCTTTTTTCTACAACATATTCTGTACGCTTCAGCATTTCCCGAACGCTCTATACAGCGTAAAAGCGTCCTGAAAATGATTCTGAAGCGCGAACTGCGAAGTAAAACAGCAGTTATCATAACATAAAACTTCAGAAATTTGTAAAGCCTTCGGCCTCGCTGTTCATTGCCGATATCTAACGAGAGGGCAGAAGCGGCCTTGGTGGCGTTACGGATAGCGCACTTGCCCGGAAAGCGTGAGGTGCGGGTTCGGCTCCCGCTCGGCTTTTGATCATAACTCAGTATTCATGTGGTAACTTTCGAAGCGCGAACTGCGGCGTGAAACGACAGTTATCCTACTATATTTAAACGGCAACGTCTGCCTGTCTGTTTGTCTGTCTGTCTGGAAATTCGGAACCACCTGAAGAGCCAGTTTCAGGGGGCGGGTCAAGGTTGGGATGGGTAGGGCATGGGCCAAAATGTACGCAACATACGTAAGCCAGGCTAAGCCCCGCCCACTGTGGGGCGTGCGCTCAGTTGTGAGCTACATAATTCAAAAATTCGTATTTAAATCGGTTCCAAAAGAGCCCGAAGAGTGGGAAATGTGGCAAGTGAGAGGCAATCAGTTGATGGACGAAATGAGTGAGCCATACCCATTATGGGGGGTGTTCCATAGGTGGGCGGTGCTTGCCACAAAACATTCAAAAATTCGTAGCTCGGTTCCGGTGAAGCCGGCCGATCCGACTGGCCCTCCTTTTCATGTAAAACTTCTCACCGGGACCCACTTCACACGCGGAAGGAGGACCATGCTCCGGCGAAGCCGGCCGATTCGACTGGTCATAATATAAAGCTCTACACAGCATCAGCATGGTCACGAGAGCTTGCTTCAGAGAATCTGGTCTTCCCAATCAACAAAATTAGGAAGAATGGCAGTCCCACTCTAGAAAATCAATTCTGGCGAAAAGTATATTAGTTCCACTCTAGACCTTTCGGCAGGAACTGTTTCCCACTGAATCAAGTGGATGACAGGACAGACCTATCGTCCCCCCCCCACTTCCTAGAACTTTCTTCTGTTTTTGAGAGAATTCTCCAGTTTCCAGGAAACTATCGTCGACGAACAAGAGGAGCAGCTCCTATGAGGGAGGGAAGGGGGTCGCCACCAAGGACCTATTGAATTAAACACTCGGAACGGTCGGAACTTAAAAGTGGTATTTGTAGTAATTGTGTACGATTTCTGCGCCACCAGGAGGGATATACTACATACGAAACGGGAAAAAAGCGACCCCCTCTAAAAGCGACCAGCTAATATGATTCCTCCCTCATTGGAAGTTTTCCAACAACATGGATAGCGCGCGTGAAACAGAAACAATCACTACAAGAATTTTTTTCCTCCGTCAAATATGGACCTCCCAGCGAGCGCGACCAAACACAACCCTCGTTGGGGATTTCCCAGCGTACGACGTGCCCTGATAGAGTAGTAATCACGACATCACATCATAAGGCGCAGTTCGGCGACACGGGAGAGGGCATTTTGCACTTTCGCTACTTCACTCGTTCCGGTTTACAAGTATCACACTGATGAAAGCTGTCAACTTGTGAGGGCATGAAACAGCTCTCTAGATGGGTCGACACATTGATGGGAAGCACTGAAAGCGTGAAATGCTGAAATGCCCTCCCGGTCACCGAACCGCCCACATCGTTGTGAGTTCACAGACTCCAGCTTCTCTTCAATAATTCTATCCGATTCAACAGCCCAAAATAAAAGTGTCAGCACCTGCTCGTTAATGATATACTTCGGTAAGTCCATGTCAGCACCGACGCGAGAAACACACGCATTAAACGCCTCAACCGCAAATCGTACATCCTCCACTTGGATGCGATGCTTCTGGAATTCTTGTTTTGCATACCCATCGAGTGGGGACATAAAAACGTCAGCGCCCTACCGGGTCTTCTGGATCAAGCACACTTTGTAAATAGTCTAGCATTCGACCATCGAAAATCAATCGTCCGCTACTGTCCTTTTTCGCCTTGGGCACACGCTCCGTTGTATCAGTGGAAACTGAACTGGCTTGAGTATATAGCGGAATTTATAAAAAATGCCCAGGAAAAATGTCACCTTGCCGCTGTTCATTCTTTCCTTCCAAAAAATCTTCATCTTCTCCATCTTCAAAGTGATCCTCAGTCTCCTCGTCCTCCTCGTCGGAAGCATGGAATTCAAGAAGATCAGCATCTTGTTCTTGAAGAAATTTGTAGAACTCGGGATCGCTTTCCTTCAACCTAAAAAAATCGCTTATTTTTCTTCGTGAGCAATGAATTTACGAGATCCATTTGTCCAGCTTAGACACAAACAATTAACTAAAACATATCAATCACTTTTGTAGATCCATGAGATGTTTCGTGGTGGCTTTTTTACTTCCAGCTGCCTTCACAACATTTTCCTCATCTGAGGCTGAAAATGAAATTGAAACTTCATATTTCCTATCCAGTGCCCAGCAATGGAGAAAAATAACTTGCCTATCTCATCGTCAGCATCCATCTCTTCTTCAACATCTTCTTCCTCAACATCAGCCTCATGTGCCTGAAACTGGAAATTTTGACAGAGGGAATATGCTGGTGTATTCCTGTTCAGGATAAAGTGGTGAGCATTCCAAAAGCAATATTTTCTTATGACCGAAACGAAGTAGAAAAGGAAAGAGTTCAATTTTGAATGCTTCTCTTATGACACGTGCTAGTTAAGCGGCAATTCACGGCAGCACATCAAAGGAAAGCTGAGTTCTGGGCAAAAGCCTGAACCCAGATGGAAATCGAGCCAGCACTTCACGAGGGCCCTCTTTTACGCCCACGAGAACCGCTCTTACCCTCTAAGCTTCACGGCTTTTTATGTCCGAGCCTTACAGCACTCTTTTGTTTAACATGGTAAGTCAGTCAGCCGTTCTTTACATGTAGGCCATGGACGGCCGCAGGCCTCTTACAAGTTCTTTTGTTATTATTATTTTTGTTCTCGAAGCTGTTTAATGATAACTGGCATAAAAAGCCGAGGAGCTGAGAAGGTAAGAGCGGCCCCGGTGACGTAACAGTTAGCATTTTCGCCAAGAAAGCGTGAGGTGCAGGTTCGAGTCCCGCCTGGGGCCACGGCTTTTGCCCATAACCCAGCATTCCTCTGATAGCTCCAGGAGCGCGACTTGCGACGTCAGAGAACAGTCATCGTAATAGGAAACGAAGAATATTGTTTTCCAGAGCGCCCCGATCAGCAACCTCGTTCTGCCTGAACCATGACGGGGTAGCTACCTTTGCGAGAGCCTCGCTCTGACGGAATGATGAAGGAATAATCTATTACTTCGAAGAAAAATTTCGCTAATTTGGCCCATTTTCTGCAACTTTTGCAATTTGTGCCTATCTGTCAGACAACATTTAGATTCTAATGGCCCGGGAGAGTACCATATTATACTGAAGGCACATTCCGCGATTACTTATAAGAATCGAAGCCACTTTCAGGAAGGTAGTGTGGGCTGCACCCCGGCACGATAAATTCCGGCAAAATGCGACCCCCTCCTAATTCCAACCTCTGATACGACGCCCTCCCTCTCCATCCTGCCTACCACTTTTCTAGATTTTCTTATCTTCCTACCACTTTTTCCGGCGTTTCCCGATGAATTTCTAGTTTTTCCCCGAAGTTTTACTGCTCGAGCGGGGGGGGGGGGAGGGCGGGGAGGTCGTCAGGAACTAACTCTATCTTCAACTATCGGAAATAGCAGTTGTATAAATCTTTGGCAGTGCCGCCAACTATGCGGGGGTATACCAGTGAAACGGGAAAAACCGCAAAAAGCCACCAACCGGGAACGTTTTCTCCCAATTTCCCCTCGAAGACCCCCTCCCAACAACGAGCAAATATAATCACTCCCCCCCCCCCCTTCATAGCGTCCGTAAAACAGGAGAAATCCACTGTCAAAAATTTTCCTCAAACGACCCTCCCCCGTTGTGATTATCACAACGATAGCGTGCCCTGGGCTGCACTAGACAACGTCATACCAACTTCTGTATCAGAAATGTCCAAATGGGCTGCAACGTAAGCCAACATAGAGTATTCAACTCCCCCCCCCCCACTCAATCACGCATATAGGCAGGTCTTCAATCACTGAGAAGGAGAAGTTAACACCCTACTCTGATTTACACCGACACGCGATCCAGAAAGGGGAAATGGTCCGCAGGCGAGACCTGAACCCGCACTTCACGTTTCACGGGAAACTGCTCAGTTCCACTCCCGTTGAGAAGAAATATTTTCACAAATGTTGACTTTGTATAAGAAAAGCCTCATGAACACATTGTTTAACACTTTTTCAGCTTTAGCTTGCTACGTTCTGGCCGGCAAAATCTATTTCGTCACAGCTGAGCCATCGATTCGAGTTCACACTTTCAAAATTTAGCACCTCATGAAACCATTTCAGTTTCAGTTTCCCCGCCGCGCTCGAAACTAGGTCACCGCGCGCGGCGACCTGTTCGCGTGGCGCGGTGGTGAGTCCTGACCTGGCATTTTGCCAACTTCAGATCAATATGACCCTATCGCAGTTTGCTTGGAGCGTTCTCTCTTTGCCTCATCTTCCATCTGCCGTGAACATGTCCAAACGGGTAGACATGTTCAAACATGCAAACAAGTTAAAGCATGTAACCGCCGCGGTGAACCCACTTGCCAGCGCGGCGACCTAGTTTCGGGCACCGCGGTGAGTCCTGACACACACCCGAAGGTCTCTAGTTCAATGCAGATGAACGGGCGTCTCAGGCAGAGTGTGCCACGGCGCCAAACCCGTTTTTGCAGTTGCTGAAGCGGGTATGCGTCAATACTTGGTAGAAACGAGTGATACAAACCAAAGACGCAGTCCTGTCACTGCTTCTTCAATAACTAGTGAAGAAACCGTGCCAAGCTCACCGCGTCTGACCCCCCTTTGTAAATATACTGTAGTTCATTGCGGAAGGTTGGGCGTGTTCGTGCGACTGCGTTTGGCGTGGTGCCAAACTCGTTCTCCACGAGTTGTTCAAGCGAGCAAATAAAAATACTGTATCATACCCTTCGTGTTACTTGTTTTCTGATGTTTTTTGTCGCATGCCCGTTTCAACAAGAAGGCATAGAACAGCTCAAAGAGGGTGACACACTCCCTCTGGCTGACACGCCCAACCGTCAGCAGCGAAGTAGAGTGTAGCGCCCCTTTGTCCGTAGCGAACTAGAATATACCTCATCTTCAAATTACCTCATGAAGATCCGGTTTCGGCCTTTTCTTCTTTATCTTGTTCAACTTTTTCCTTTTGTCTTTGTCGGCGGTAGCTTTCCCTAGCTTTGCTTTCTTCACAGAAACCATATCTGAAATTAATCAGACTCCATCCAGAGCATGAAAAAGAACAGCAAGTAAAACAGTTACGGAATCAGTAGCATGTAGTGACCCCTAACAGAAACGTGTCATCCTCCTGTAAGAGTCCAAAACCACAAAGTATTCCACGTCCATTAAGCTTGAGAGAAAAACGGAAGCAAACTTATGCATTGCTACTTGATGTTCTGCTCCTTTTTCGGGAGCAGCAAGTGGTATCACTTACAAAATATCCCATGGCACATAATCGCTTAAAGACAGTTCAGCAGTAGTTCGCTAAGCCTAAGCGTCCTTACCTGTATAGGTAGTCTGATCCTCAATATGAGGGACTACACCGTTTTCGCTGCTTGTCAGTAAGTTACGAAGGCGCTGCGGCAATTATAAGTGGCAGTTCTAATGCATCCATAGTTGTACCGACTTTTCAAATCGCGTTTTTCGTTTCTTTTACTGTTATACGAGATCCGTGGCAGGGATAGCCGGATGGTTAAAAGTGTTGTCTCGTGTCTGCTCCCTGAGCCACGATTTAGTGTCAGGCCCAGCCTGACAGGTCGGTTGATGAAGAACCCCGTCACAACAATCGAATCGTGTCACAACAGAATATGATAATGCTAGTACGTTCCAAAACCCGGAAAATGCGACTAAGTTTCGTAGGCAGTATGTGAGGGCTACAGAGGGGTGACGTGGACCTCAGCCAAAGAAGCTAGTTCGAATTGGAACCCTGAACACGAGGTCGCTTACCGGGAAGTTTGAAAGGTTTTCAACATCCCCAGTTACAGGAATATCTAGTTGTCGACATCAAGAGACGCAAGAATATCTAGGTCCTATCCCTCCAGGGAACTGCCGGAAAGTTATCAAGGCTCGCGAGAAAAATTCAAACTTCCACAATGGAGGAGACTCCAGACAGAAAGGTTTGCCGTTGCGATAGCAGAATTGCACAAGAACTACGTCTTTTCTCTAAATAGAGATCAGTGATCGAATCAAAGCTGTGAGAATAGACACCAAGCATGGGCGCAGTTTGTCGACGGGGGCATTTTGCTTCCCATAGATGTGTCGAGCCATCTAGGCAGCCAAGTTCTCGAGTTGACACGTTTTAAGATAGTGGCTAGACGATCTTACTTCAGCTTCACATGTGTTCACATGTTTTACCAGAGTGAGATTTGCAAACCGGAACTAGGGAAGCAATGATAATACAAAATGCCCCCCCCCGTGAAAAACAGCGCCCCAAGCATGTATACTGGATAATAGTGAGCGTGTACGCACCGCAGTCCGGTTGCTCCGAGCTGGAAAAGGATGAGTTTCACCTGAGTCAGGACGGGGCCTCAAGATCGGTTCCGTAGGGTAACTGCCTCGCCATAGCTGGTGATCTGAACGGCCATGTGGGTGGTGACAGAAGAGGTCTAGAAAGGATGCACGGAGGCCAAGGAATTAGGAGCACGCACTGTGGGAGAACGGATTCTTGACGTCACAGTCCACAACCTAGCGATCCACAGCAAAGAGGAAGATCCAGATAATAACCTACGGCAGTGGAGAGACGAGCAAAAATCAACCATGTGCTTATCATAAGACTATCTCTCAAAGCTTCAAAGAAAATCAAGGTACTGCCCAGCAAAAAAACTGGGTCCTCAGCAGACCTCTTCGCAAAATTGCCATAGACCTCCAAAAGAAAGCGAGGGTAAGAACCGAGCTTAAGAATTTGGTAGTGCATGCAAAGCAAAGCCTCGGTCGAAGAATAATGGTTGCTAGGCTATCAGACCTACACGGCCAGTGAAGATCTGGACCATTAGAGCAGAGGTCATCCTGCAGTGTGCTAAGGAAGTCCTGGGAGAGACGCGAGGCGGCACCAGAGGAGACAAGGCGGTGTGGTTCTGGAACAGGGGAATCCAACAAGTTGTAGAGCGGAAAAAGCCGGTGACAAGATGCAGGATGTGTGGGAGAGCAGCACAATCGTCACCATCTTCAAACAGAAAGGAGACGTGAAGAGCTCCAACTACCGCGGCATCAAGTTGATTCCGCATAAGATGAGGCTGTACGAGCTACTAGTCAACACAAGGCAGAGGGCACCCGTCGAGCAATTCGGCTTCATTGCCAGACAGTTGATGGAGAGGTACCGAGAGAAGCGGCGACTCTGCTACCTAGCCTTCTTGGACTCTGGAAAGACATTCGTCCGTCTGCCTCGGCCTGTGCTCTGAAGAGCACTCATTGAACGAACCTGCCGGAACACCTGCTTTCCATAGTGTAACGTGGGGCTAAGACAATTATACGCACTGCACCCCCCCCCCCTTCCCCCATGGTTCGACAAAGGACACAGACATCATTTGGGGTAAACCAAGGATGAGCCCTAAGCCCGTGCTTCTTCATGCTTCATTCTTCGTGCTGCCCGTGCCATTTAACTCTGAATGTCATGGCAAAGAAACCCGTGGAGGGGCCACGAAAACATCCTCTCCGCTAACGACATCGCCCTGTTAGCGGACAGCAGGGAAGAACTCCAGCTCAAGGTGCAAAGGAGGTAGAAGCTGCTTGCCGAGAATGGTTTCTTGCTGAACGTGAGGAAGACCTGGCATTGGCTCGCTGAGAATGGTCCCCGGCTGAGCGTGAGGAGGACCAAGTGCCTGAGCTTCGAAGAGAGCACTGAACCCACCAAAGATGGCCACGGGGAAGCTATTGAGAGATAGGGAACTTCCCGTTCCTGGAGAACGACCTGGCAGCTGTCGGGTGCGTGGACCAGGCAGTGAAAGCCCAAATAAATGAGGCTTGGATGAAATGAAGGGATTTCACTGGCAACCTCTGCGACCGGCAGTGTTCCAGGGAGCTCTGGCAAGGTGTAGCGGGCAGTAGTGAAGCCTGCAATGCTTAACGCTAGTGTGTGCTGGCCCATATAAAATAGCATGGAAGGCAACTTCACCCTGCTCAAATGAGGATGCTGAGAGGAAACCGGCTGGACGCGACTGGAAAGAACAAATTAAGAGTCAAACTGTTCCTGTACGAATGAAGGCACGAGAGCAGCGCCTGTGATGGTACGAACACTTTCTAAAGGGGCTCGTAAATCACCCAATAAGACAAAATAAAATGACATTAGTAAGTCTTGAGCAGTTTTTGCATTTGTTCTAAACTGAAAATTATTCCAAAGTCACTTTAATGTCGATTTACTTCATCATTTTTGCTAAATTTATTAAGGGGTTCAATCCAAAGAAGTAGTTCAGTTTTCGCTTCGCACGTGCCCTTAGACGGAAACTGAACGAGAAAAGCACTAGACGTTGAAACAGGGGAAGCGACCTCGAGGAGCAACACAGAAGAGGTGAACGGATCTCTTCAAGAGACCTCAATGAAGCAAATGCCGCATTTGAAGATGCCTTGGATGAGTGAAGTGGCGACGTCTACAAGAACAGCAACGCTAGGGAGAAGAAGGAAAGAATTTGATGGTATTGCGTCAGAGGAGACGGGATATCTCTTCAATGGCGTAAAACGAGCAAGACCGGCTTTCTGGCTGACAGTATGGGTTTTCAAAAAGGGTGAAACTCAGCGGTGCAGGGACTGAGATAGGGCGCTCCAATACCACATTCGACGCAACGCAGCAAGTGCAGTAAGATGATGCTCAGAGTGGGGAAGGGCGTATGGAAACACCCATCAGCAGGAGGTTGTAGCAGACGAGACAATTTTCCTTTACGAAATGTTGACCCCTGTCACCTTATTCTCGAAATTCTGCCGTCGAGCGGGGAGCCGGGAGAAGCCACCGACGGCCGAACAGACCCTTTGACATACACATATACATACTACATACATATACATACACCCACACACACCTATGTACCTCCGGGGCAAAATTCCGAATCGGTCTTATCCGGTACAATCGAACCTACCACGCTTGGCTGTCAGTGAAATTGCCCCAAACCTGTCTGGGAAAATAAAATGCTGATCTGTACATCGGCAAGTCATTCTGTACGCCAGACGGCCTTACGAGAAGCCACTACGATTCAGAATGTGAGCAGAATGTGTGGCGCATCTCCGGAAGATATTAAGGAAGTCGAACACTTTTACTATCAAAGATCTGACAGTTGTAAAATGACATTTATCCTACAACATTTTGTTCTAGGTCAGCTGAACTCAAGGCCCACTTCTCACTACGATCCGGCGGAAGTGCTTTCCTCCTGTACTCCTAAGGATTGAAAATGTAGACAACAACTGAGGAAGGTCCTCGAGTCGGCTACATTCACGAATCACCTCGGGAATCTGGCTAAAGGGAGGCACTTCAAAGGAAAACGGGATATTGCGGAGGTGGCCTACATTGCGAATGTGATCGACGGGCTTGAGCGATGCAGCGCGGGAACGGTAGAGGGTGGAAGAGCTTTAGAAAGGGGATAATGGTTAGAAAGTGAAATGTTCGACGAAAATCTCACAGCAAGAACGACTGAGAACTCAATTAAAAATGCTGTTCATGCTCAGCTATTCCACTCATCTAGTTATTTCTCTTATTCTACACATAATCGGCATAGGACTCGGAGTCTTTATTTGGCACTTCTTCCCAAAAAATGTGAGTTTGATCATCGCTTGTTCAACAAACAAAAGAAATTCGTGTTTCCCTGATTACGATTCATAGTCAAGCATGTGTGCTTGTTTGAATCCCATACAGCAATCCAGTAAATAGATGTTGCTATGCTATAACTGCGACGATGGACCGTCTGTCTAAGTTGAAGGTATAAGGAACAAGTGAAGGACACCTGGCTCAGAGCAGGTATTATGTTGGGAACTCTTAGAAGAGGGGTGCGGGTGGTATTTGGCCCCTGGAAGGAGAGGGTCGTGATTGGTCTGAGAATTTTTTTTATAGTTGATTTTCAAAGCTGTTCATATCGCTGGGAAAAATCCAATGGGGGTGTCGTATTCGCTCGTTTTTGCAAGAGACGGGCCATATTTGTTTTTAGGGGAACTTGCCGCCTTGTGGAAAAATGTCTCTAAGGTTGTTGAATTTTTCGCTTTTTCTGCCTCAGTATATACCCCCC